AAAGCATGCTCTTTAGATGCTTGGAAATTACTCTCTTTAGAAAATGTTCTCTCCCCAAGTTCATAAATATTCCTTACTCAAAAGTCACTGGGGTTTCTTCCTCAAAATATCTACAACTTCATTACAAATCCCCCACACAAAATGCTGATAAATTTTGAAGAAATTCCAGGTCCAAAAAGTATTACACCAAAAAAAGAAAAAAAAAAAATTGTCCTCCTGCTTTAGCCTAGGTGATCAACTGGATCTTGTTGGATTCCAGCTAAATTCCACCCAACTTCAATCTATTTTTAGCAAAATTGACAACCAATTATGAACAGGTTAATATTTAATCAAATCTTTTAAAATTGATATTGTGACATCATTTAAGGGGTAAAAACATTGTGGGTGCTATTGCCAGCTTTTTAATAGCCAGGTTCCTATAGGAAATATGAAACCGTAATGCACAATATAAGTTACTGATCAAAAACTCTGTATTACTGTTATGTTTTGACTCACATTGCCACATACCTGCAAAAAAGAATTCTATGTAAATAAAGGGAAGATTCAACCATGTGTAGGGTACATATTGTGGACCATATACCATTCGCTCATTGTGTACCTCTCTTTCAAGAAACGATAAAATGAGCTAAGCTTATGAACGAGATTGATTCTGGCCACAATCCGATGGATGGGAATGAGACTCTAAGGTCATATGAGAAATACAATCGCCTCAATAACAATTGGAGGGCCACTATTTAACTGTCTAAAACAAGGTTTTAAAAATTGTCGATATGCTTCATTCTCTGAACTGAACTGCAATGTCGATCCGCCGATTCGACCTGATTGCCGGATTGGTCGATCCGCCTATTCTACCTGATTGCCGGATTAACGATCCGCCGATTGCTGGATTATCAATCCGCCAATTTGACCAGATTTTTTTAATGTGACATCCGGCGCTTCACGCACCACACGTGTCGCGTCAGACTGCAACGCCTACTAATTTCTTACCACACACGTGACAAAACATGAGGAGAGTGGTCCCTATTAATAACGAAAGCCTCACATAAAGTCCATAAACAACCAAATAAAAAGGACTAACTAGTCTACACGTATACTTTTCTCTTGGACTTGCCGACATTATTTTTAGGCCGTGGTTTGTATACGGTGGAGGCCCAAACTATTAAAGTAAGGCACGCTTCTTCAATACTGGAAATCTTTATGATGACTTGAAAATTTACTTTCATATCTAATTATAAAATTTAAAGCTTAAAAAATTACTTAGGGTAGGCGGATCTATGCACACTTTAAATTTTTGAAAATTGGTGGTTCGTACATTACAAGATGCATTATTTTCAAAAGTTGAAATCCATTTGTTTTCACCCCAATTCATCTTGAGGTTGAGATGATCAATTTGATGATTTTAGGACATTAAATCAACATCTTCTAATGAATTTTTAAAGTATATTTTAATTTGATTGTTTAGAGTTTGTATAAACTTTTTCCTTCTTTTTAGTTTCTCCGCAGTTTTACTTTTCTCTCCTTTCTTTTTCTGGAGTTTGGACTTCGCCACTTATTGCTAGCACGTGCACAACAAACGACATTTCACGAAAAAAGGGAAGATGTTTGTTATTGGTTTTGGGGATTTTGGAGCTGAAATTCGAGAAACGATTGATTAATAATATCCGGTTTACTTCATTTTCAGTCACATGATTATAAACCGAAAAAATAACACATCACACGCTAAAATCCTAAAAGCATTTGCATAAAACGCAAGAGTGTTGCAAGGCATTAGAAGGACCGACACCTATGCAAACCGGTCTGACTATGAGTAGGACTATTACTAGTGAAAACCGGTCTAACTATGAGTATGACTAGGACCAGTACCGGTGCAAACTTGAGGCCACAAAACAAGGTAGAGGGCTGGGTTAGGGTAACGACCCAACTAGGATGATGATCATCATCGAGGCCCATTTTCAACAAATTGGGATCGGTTATATGGATTCAAGTATGTCGTTTTATATTGAGAGTCATACTTTTAGTGAGGCTATATGTCTTTATATCTTTTCATATTACTTCCAATCATGTCTTTTTTGTTTTACTTTTTATGTTTTTTTTCAGGTTTCTACTTGAACTGTCTCGTACCTCCTAATAGGTGTTGTGCAGAGTTATCTTCATACTCAATCCATGCCTTTATGTGCAGAGTTATCTTCATACTCAATCCATGCCTTTAGGTAAATTGGCCCGACCCATTACCCTCCCTAATTCCACATTGGAAATAAGAGTAATCTTTTAGATCACATCACAATATGAACCCCCATAAGGAGATGACCAAAAAATTAACACAAACTTCACCATAAAATTCTTTTATATGGTATATTTTAAGAAAATTTGTTTATGCAGCGGGGACCACATTTCTATATTTGCAGTCCTCAATATTCTAAAAACAATTGAAACTAACCGTCCAAAATTTTTCTTAATAGAACTTTTATTTTTTATTTTTAAAATTTATTTAATTTTTCATATTCATGATCTTTCATGTTAGCGATTACATGTCTTCAAAATCAAATCCAAAAATGCATCTCAAAAATAAATTTGTAAGAGGTGACTCATTTCTACATGGTCTCATAGAAACCGTGTCTATATTTTAATAGTAATTATTCTTTTAAAGCAAATGGCAGTACAAAAGATGCAAATTCAAAAAATACAAATGAATAGTGGGAGTAGAATGGCTTTTAATTCAGTCTTCATGAAAATCAATTTCACTTTTCCAGCATTTGCGTGATTTGAAGTTTCCTGGACACCAGTGCGTGCCACGCAAGAGCTCAGTTTCTCCTAAAAGTTAAAACTCTACCGTGCCATTTGTTTGGTTGTTTCATCTTGATAATTGTTTTCAATTTTTTATCTCTATTTTATGGAATTGGTATTTTTTTTATTTATATTTTTTAGTTTTTAAATAATTCATATTAAATAAGATCTTATTTTATAGATAATTCTTATTTAGACTAAGATGGATTTAAGTTCATAAGGATAGAGATAAGTTAACCTTTCATAAAAATTAGAAAAAAAAGGAGAGCTTCACGTATCACTCTTGAGGGGCTTTATTTTTGGGTTATTTTAGAGAGAGAAAGTGACAAAAAATTAGATGGAACACTTACGGGTGTTTTTAGAGAAAGAAAATGGTAGAGAATAAAACTTTGTGGGAGATTGAGTATTTGGTTCTTTCAAGTGAGTATTTTGTAAACTACGTAAATCCTGGTGTTTTTTTCACGTAAATTGTGGTGTTTTTTTGTCTGTTATTTATTTTCTGCGTTATTTTTCTTGCTTGTGGCTGGTTTTTTTGTCGATTCTTTATTTGACAAAAATCAACAGGTTGGGTTTAGAGCTAATTAGACGTAGCCATAAATTTTACCAAAATTGGCCTCTACCTACACCCCACTACACACAATTGGAACCAAACTATGAAACTGAGGGCGCATCCATAGGTGTAGAGGTAAGGTGCACCTTTATATAATTTTGCTGTAAAATGTTTATAAGATTATCTCAAAATCTATTTTTATATCTAATTATAAAATTTTAAATTTAAAAAATGGTTAAAATCAAGTAGATATATAAACATATAAACATCTTGAAAATGGACGGTGTATGTAATATGTTGTAAAATGAACTATTTTTTAGACTTAAAATCTTTTTATTTTTCATGGTCATACATCTCAATGTCGAGATGATCAATCAAAAGGTTTCTCAACGTTAAAACTACCTTTTTCGATGGATTTTTGAGGGGCATCCGTAGTTCTACATTATAAAGTAGCATCCTTATATAAACTTTTTCGATGAAACTAATTGCTGATTAGTCTAAAATTTAGGTTGCGTTTCAAAATTAAGGCATTCGATCATCAATAAAATAAACGATTGAATGGGAAAATTGGCAAAATCTCATGGAAAAAATCTCATGGGAAAGGTTTCTATGCTTCCCCTACAGCATGGAAGTTATATCCTTCCCCTACCATCTAGCTGTCAAATTTTGATCAAGCAAGCCACTCACCGTCTGATCTTGGATCCAATGTCTCAAAGTACTTTATTTTTAGTTTTTTATATACAAATTGTATGGATATGAAATTTGGTACTTGCTATCTTCTCGTTGGGACGCATCTATAAAAAATATTAAAAATAATTTTTCAATAAAATTTAATGACCAAAATACCTTTTGAATCTTTCAATGGTATTTTGATCATTTTATTTTATTGAAATTATTTTTTTTATATTTTTCGCTAGTGGGAGTCTAATAGAGGAATGGACATCCAAAATTTGGTATCAAATTAGTTTATAGAAAAACAATTAAAAATAAAATAGTGTAGAGATGTGAAACTGTGATTGAGACAATCTTAACCCTCCATTCATAATAGATGATTGGATAAATCGGGGGATAGAACTTCTATGCTTTAAGAGAAGCATATAAAGCTTGCCCAAATCTTATTTGATAGTAAACCTCGCTTTTGCGTTATTCCAAAAGAAGTCAAAATCAAATTTTGTCATCTTCAAAGATAAAAAGGTTTTAAAGTCATGAAAAGATATGATAAAATCAAATGTGATTAGATGGTCTAACTACGTGAAGAAAAGTTCTTAGACTCCGTAATAACAACATGACCTTTCTTCCCCATACATACTTGGAAATTTATTGGGATAACTTAAAAACACTTTTTTTTTCTAAAATTTATCTAAAACTACTCTTATTCTTCAATAATATGTTTTTGGGAAAAAAAATGAGATAAATAAAAAAAACGATTTTCAAAACCTATTTCCTTAGGTAATATTTTCCTTGGGTAATTTAAACATTCCAAAACGATTTGCCTATAGTTATTAGTCATTAAGGATTTTGCTAAAAATAATTTCTGGGCTAAAGAGATGACAAGTGCAATGAATTGCCAATAAACAAACGGTCTTATTAAAAAAACGGGCCAAATTAATTGAATATAAAGAAATGGAAATATTTATGAAGAGCCCACACCTCTCATCCTTAATGACCAACTTTGCAACGGCTCTCTCTCTAGCCTCTACTTTCTATATTTTTCATCTTTCATAACTCCACTTTCCTTCTCTGTCCCTCCTCTATTGTATTTATATACATATTACCTCCTCCCTTTGAATTTATATACAGTCCCTCTCGTTTCTCTTTCTAACTTCTCTCATTTCACTTTTTTGACATCTATCTCTTGTTTCTCTCTCTAAGATGGGGCTCGGAGGATGGGTTGCTATGGCCATGGCTTTCATGGGTTTTTTAGTTTCTGCACAATCTTATGAGTTTTTGGTTGGCGGCACGGCTGGTTGGGTCTCTTCTCCGAAAGAGGAATACAACGATTGGGCTGAAAGGAACAGGTTTCAGATCAATGATACTCTTGGTAAATTCAGTTTTTCTTGTTTCCCCCTCACTCTTTTAAGATTATTTTTTGTTCTCTCTCTATAAAAGCCTACTTTCCTCTCTAATTTCTCTCTCTAAGAAAGCTTAGTTTGTTGATTTCCTATTTGTTTCGATGATTGATGTTTAGTTGATATGTTTCCATGAGATCATGCATGTTGCTCTCTACCCTTTTTTTAATTCTGGGAATTTCCTCTCTAGGACCAAGCCAGCTCCCTCATGTTTTTTTTATCAATATTGATGAATGCATATGGATCGTAAGCTTCCATAGAGATCTTGCATGCTTAGCCATTGTTTCATATAGATTTTCCTGTATTTCTCGTTGTCATTCCGGCTCCTCTCTCTCTAGTTTGGCTTCTCTCTCTGGAAAACCATGGCTTTTTTGTGGGGCATTATACGGGGAAAGGTTTTTATACTTCCCCTAGGTATGTACTTCTCCCCCTCATCCAGCCGTTCAGTTTAAATTTGATCTAAGATCCGATGCTTTTACGTATTTTACTTTTTGTTTTTTTACAAAATGTATAAATATGTTTTTGTTATTTTTATAAATCGTATAAATATGAAATTTGTGTACTACACATGTAGTGCACCTAAAAGATTAAAAAATATTAAAAATAATTTTTTCGATAAAAAATATAATGATCGAAATATCCTTTAAAACTTTTTAGAAATATTTTATTCAATTTATTTTAATGAAAATATTTTTTTTTATACTTTGTACTGTGAGTTTAATAGAGGAGTATGGTACTAAAATAGTTTATAAAATAATTAAAAGTAAAATAATGTAGAAGAATAAAAGTTTTATGGAATAGAGGAAGCACAAAAAGCATGCCCTTTCTAAATATTAGTAATTTGCCTTCTGGTTTCCATTTCCGTTCTCTGCATTTTCACTTTTGAAGATACCATATCATCCACCGGTAGGGCATCCGCCGCCCGTTCTCCTCACGGAGGGTGGAAATTGAAATCAGAGCTATACATCGATATTCCCGAGGGTGTACCATGATACCATGCACTACTTTTCCCTTCTCTTTTTAGCGGTTCACTATATCCAATGATTTTTATATATTTTTTGAAAATTATTTGTTTCCTCGTGATGAGTGATAAAATAAAACCGTGAATGTGCCATCATATCCCATCTTATTTCACGGTAGATTTTATACAAAAATTACATCTTATGATAAATTTTGGATGTGGGCCCTCTTTAAATTGTTTAAGATTGCAACTTCATAGAAACCACATGAAATAAGGTGCGTTTTAATTTAAAGTTGCAACCTGATAAAATTTTAAAAAATTTTAGGATTATTTGAAAATCGATTTTTATATCTAATTATAAAATTTTAAACTCCAAAAATTGTTAAAATCAAGTAGATCTATAAAACAAATGAAAAACTTGAAAATGGATGGTGTAGATAATGTATTGCAAGATGTACTATTTTTTGAACTCAAATTTTTTTTTTTTTTTTCCATATTCATATATCTCGAGATGATAAGGATTTTTTGACATTAAAATATGGATTTTTTAGGTGCATCTTTAATTCTACATTGTAATGTTGGAACCTTATATAAACTTTTTTTTTCTTTAAATTTTCAAATAAGCTATTGTTAATGTAATTTTCAAATTTATGTCGGCAATGTGTACTAAAAAATTTTGGAGTAGAAAAAATTAAGGTCACCTCGAACATGTCAAAGGCCGTACTAGGATTTTAGGGCAAAGTAATAGACAGTTTATACCTGATAGCTGTGTGAGTCTATGTAACACACTCTCAATTTTGTTCTCCTGCGTATCATTGATAATTTTGAATAATTGTGTGCAAAATTCTCCCTCTGAGTTTTGGTTGGTTTTTTTTGGCAGTATTTAAATACAAGGCCGGTTCTGATTCAGTCCTCTTGGTGAGCGAACAAGACTACCATTCATGCAAGACTTCTTCTCCCATCTCGAGCTTCAAAGATGGCAACACCATTTTCAAATTCCCTGGCTCTGGTCCCTTCTTCTTCATTAGTGGCGAAAAGGACCACTGCCAAAATGGGCAAAAGCTGATTGTTGTAGTGTTAGCAGAAAGACATAATAAGCATTCCATATCTCCTCTTCCTTCTCCATCACCAAAATCTTCCCCATCTTTGGCCCCTTCCCCTGCATCTTTGGCCCCTACTTCCCACTCTCCATCTCCATCTTTGGCCCCTACTTCCCCCTCCCCTTCAAATCCTCTCTTCTGCTTCTCCTCCATCTTTTGCCCCTCTTCCCCTCTCCAAATCCTCTCCATCTTTCGCCCCTGCTTCCTCTCCATCTTTGGCCCCTGCTTCCCCCTCCCCTTCAGCACCATCTTCGGCCCCTATCTATCAGTCCCCAATTTCTTCACCAACTCCTTCTCCATCCTCAGCTCCTATTTCGTCAGAGCCACCAACTCCTTCTCCATCCTCAGCTCCTATTTCGTCAGAGCCACCAACTCCTTCTCCATCCTCAGCTCCTATTTCTTCAGAGCCACCAACTCCTTCTCCATCCTCAGCTCCTATTTCGTCAGAGCCACCAACTCCATCTTCATCCGAGCCTCCATCCCAGGGTCCACCAACTTCATTAGAGCCTCCATCTCCTAGTGGAAGTGGGGTTTCCGTTTCTCCAACGCCTACTCCTTCTAACTCTAACTCGATCTCTGTTGGTTTTAGAATGGGAATTTTGCTGATATTTAGCAGTTTATTGGTTTTTGTTTGAATTTTTTGAAATCATTTTGGGGACTGAATTGGAGATACTACTGAAATTTCAGAATGGTTGGGTAGTTTGTTTATTTACCGTGTCATGTGGATCATTTATCGAGAAAAGGTTGGTGATTTTGTATTGGATTGGAATAAGTTTTAGTTGAATGGTTGGTTAGTGAATTGGTTGGTTATAAACATTCATTGGATGAATAAGATGCAATTTTTTTTATGGATGCAATGATTGGAAATAGTCTTACATTTGTTTTGGAAGGTTTTCTAGTAATTTTTTTTTTCTTTTGTTCTTTTCCTATAGAGCTTCAGAGGCAACCTATGGTTGGTTTGGATGAGCATTATGTGTTTTCTAATGCTTTGTCTAGATAGTTGAACTCAGAGTGTTTTATTTTTAATTTTTATTCTATAAATCATTTTGAAGCGAAATTTGGGAAATGCATGCAGGAATATTTCCCTAATGAAAATTTACCAGAGTACTTTTAAAACTTTTGGGGGCATTTTGGTTATTTTTGAAAAGTTTTCTACTTTTTTTTTGTTCGTCTAGAGGTTGAGGGAATCTATGGTTGGTTTGAATGAGCATTTTGTGTTTTCTAATGCTTTGTCCCAAATTGATAATAATAGGGAAAGCTTTTCATGGGACCCTACC